TGTGGTCACTCCTAGAAAAAGTAAGGCTCTAGCAACTTGGAAGCGACTCAGTCTGTCTAAGGAAACTTCTCAGCTTAGAGCTACAATTGCCCCTTTTCTTTCAATAGGAGAGCTATAAAGGGAGCAACATGTACAGATTTCCAGAGCAACCAGTTACTCAGGTGATCTCATCCCTTCCTATGGGTTCTCAAAGCCCCTATTTTAATAGGAGGAGCCAGCTGCTTACGAAGGCCTCGGAACACATCTCCCTCAGCATCAGCCAGGGTCTTCCCTTGCTCAAAGGTGATGAGTTTGGAAATTTCTTTCTGAAAATGGAAAACACAAAGTTTATGAAGGTTAGAAAAGTGCCCACCCATGAAATAGAGTGCAGGGATAAGACAGTTTAACAGACAGTTGAACCTCACAATGAGCAGACTGAGCAGAACATAGAGAAGCCTATACTGACTGATTTGCTCCTTGTGGACAAGAAGCCAACAACCCAAGTCCCTGTTTGACAGGAAGTGTTTTGCTGCACCTCTCGACAGTGTCTCAGCTGGTTCCTCAATCATGGCAATGCCTCATCAAGAACTCTGTAAACCCCAAGTCTCTCAATTTAATTCCTAAAGTCAGCTGCAATGCATTCAGCCACAGCCATCACACACAGCCATGGTGTCTCACCAGATTGTCTTTGATCAGTTGTTGATAACGCAGAAAGATTTGCTGACGGCTCAAAACAGATGTTTCTGACCAGTTCCAAAAAGCCTTTTTGCAAGAAGCCACAGCTGCTTCCATCTCACTTGCTGTGGCTTTTGGTACTCGGCCAACCACTTCATTTGTGGCCTGAAAGAAAAACCAAATTGCATCAAAACTGAACTTTTCCCATCTGTCACTGCCAACCATTCACCGGTCATTTCCCAGCACACACCTAGCATCCTTTTTCTAGAAGGAGCTGTACTTCTGATGGGAGAGCACAAAAGAGGCTCCTTCCTTGGTGCACACAAAAGACTTGGGCTACAAACGGAGTAGTTCTGAAAACCTGCATCTCAAATTAGGCACCCAGAAACTGCAAATGCAGTGTTCATTTCCAAGCTGGAAGTGACTTGTCTACATTGAAGCTTCTAGAAAGTATTACTTTAAGGCAAAAATTTTTGTGAACTGTGGCTGTGGTCCTAACCCTCAGTATCATCTTCACTCATTTGCTGTGTTTCTTGCACATTTAATGAGGGGGAAAAGCAGTACATAACTGTGCACTTGGCATTGATGTTAGTTTACCTATACCCCTCAGCCAAAGTAATATTTTTACAAGCAACCTTAGTTCTACAGTATTTTAACTTTAAAAGCTTGGTTGGTAGTTTAACCTCTATCTAATGTTCTCTTAAAAAATAAATCTGCTTTGACATGACGAAAACTTCAAGTATATCACTAAGAGAGAAACTACTCAAAATAAGAGAAAGAAAATTAAATAAGAACATTGGTTGCCACATAGAGACTGAATGAGATACGTGAACATGGCTTGCTGCTCTGATCACTTCCACAAAGCAAATCAAAATAGAGCTTTACTGAGGAAAAATTTAGGAACTGCTGTCCAAATGCTTACTAGAAGGGTCAGAAAGGTCAGAATTCTGAGTGCAACCTCATTTCCATTTGTCTTTGGTGTAGTACTTAGACAAGTACAAGTGCTACTAGTCTAAGATTATTTTGCACTGCATCGCATCCAACTTCTAAATTCTCTGTGATTACTGTGGCTCAGAGGTGGAAGCTCTCTGAAAGGAGAGGAGCTTCAGTTATCAGGATTTTTCACCTTGGTCTGAGAGTGATATCAGTCTCTATCACAACTTCACATTCAGTTAGCATCAAATTACTCCCAGTTGATTCCACATACAGGGTGAAAGACACCCTTCAAAGATTTGACATATTGATCACAGAGCCTTTCTATGAGAAATGAAAATATGCAAGCAGAGTTTAAACTTCCTTTCTGGAGATCAGGATCTTCCTACATTAGGGAGGTAAAGGAGGCAGTAACTTTTCTGAGACTGACATTTCATGTGAAAAGGAAACTGAGAAGCAATAATCCATCTTAACCTCCAAGCCTAAATCTTTCTGAAGAAATATATGTACTTTCCCCTTTTGCTACGTCCTTGAAGAGAGGCACAGATCTTTGTTGCCCAGTGCTCACTATTATAGAGGCTGAGACCATTTCACTTACCGGGTTGTGGATATCAATCCATTCAGTAGTTTTGGACTCAATAAACTTCCCATCAATGAAGAGTTTGGTTGTTGGCTGTGGAGGACAAAACACTGGACAGTGAGTTATTTTTGTCTCAAGGTATCTATGTACCACTATTGCATGCAAGCCTTCATCATTTACTGCTCTGCAAACCACTAGAGTCCAGATCCAGTCTTTACAGCAAGACCCAGCTAACTGCTCTCTGATTCATTTTTCTCTCACTTTACACCAAAACAGCCAAAATTCTTTCTAAATGCAGTTATAGAAAAAATACATCACTGTGGAATTATTTCAATCTACTTAATTGGAAACCAAAAAACTGCAAGTCATAAATGTTCAGAAGAAACAGTTAATAATTCACCTTATGAGAATTCCATGAACCCAGTGCACACTGTACTGTGTGCTTTCTTCCCATCAAGCCACTAAGTAGGTTCATCTTTCCAGTCTATAGCTATAAGCATAAATTTGGACTTTTCCTGCTCCCCACATGGTTCTGCAACTAAGAGCAAGAAACTGGCCTCTGTGGAGTTCACAATGACTGTCTGGGCAGGCAGCAGAGGAAACAGAACCTTCCAACTCAGATGCAAAGCAGGCAAAAGAAAAGTTCACATAAACATAGAGCAGAAGGGAAAGCAGTCATAGAAGCTGTAATTAGCACTAGATAGGCAACAAAACTGTATCATGCAGGAAAACAGATTAGGACTGTATAAATTAATAAACTAGAAACCAGGAGTTGATATTGGGAGATAAGGAGAGAACTAGGAGAAAGCAAGAACCTGTTAATCATGACACAAACTGTGGCTTGGGGAGAATAGATAAGAGGAAGGGGAAATGGGTCTGACACACGAAGAACAGAAATGGGACAGAAGTGGGATATGAATGTAAATATATCAGGAAACTGAAAAAATTAGGATGTGGAATTATGAGAGGGAGATAAGGACTGGGACGCTATCCAGTGTATAATGAAGGGAAAGAGATCAGAGGAAGAATCATGAATATGGGTGTTGTTTGGAAAATAACAATAAGTGAAAAGTGGATGAAAACGAAAAAGAAAGTGAACAGCAATGAGAGGACACAAACTGAGAAAGACTGGAGACAAGAAAGCTAGGATGAGAAGAGTAAAATAAGTCTGTTAATGGATAAGCAAGACCTAGTGATTTGGAAGGCAAAACTAGGAGAGAATTAAAAATAAAAAGTTGCAGATAATTATGTAGCTGGAATCACACTTGGGGAAGAGAGGTAGAAATCTGTATCTATGAAACACAAAGTCCTCTAGAACCTGGAAGGAAGCACAGGAAATCTGAGCCTCTTGACTGAATTTCCTGACTCAGAGAAGGTGCTGGTTTAGTGCTGGTCTGAAGAATGACAAACTCCTATTGCTATCAATCACAGTAGCCCAAGTGCTGAGTATCTGCAATAGAGCTACAAGCTCCTCTACTACATGACCACATGGGCTTCAGTGCAATGGAATTTATGTTCTTTTCAAATAGCTTAATACACATTAAATGAAAAGATTGCACATACAACGAAAAAATATTTTAATCAAACCAAGAAATGCTGAATTAATATTGACTGCACTTCTTCCATAAGATCTCCACCTTTTCTTCATGTAAAGAATGCGCCTGCTGTGGGAACATGGACGGCAGCAATGCAGACTATTTGTGGAATCATGGTTTAGATGATTAGAGTTTGGACAGTGTGCAGCCACGGACAGCGGAACTAAAATGGCACTATAACAACTAAAGCTGTTCGATACTGCCCGAAGGAAATCAGATCCTCTCTCTGCCGCAAACATATGCCATGAGGCCAAGCAACCAGGAGTAACGGGAGGTGACTCCCTAAGCGGCCGCACCGCGACCCGCGGCGGGAGCTGCCCGGCGGGCACCGCTCAGCTCCCAAGTCCGCTCATGGAACTTTTTTCCGTCCCTCCCGTCGAGCGCGGGGCAGTTCCGACGCTGGTTCCAGAAATACCCACCCAGAGCCACCGGGCGGGGATGGCTGGAGAGCTGCGCCGAGCCGAGCTGACCCGAGCCGGCAGGAACGGCCTCAGCAGGGCAGACCCGAGCGAAGTGTCCGCCGGGAGCGGCTAAGCCCGGGGCTCTCCCGCGCCTCCCTCTCCCCGCCAGCCCCGACCCGCGGGACGGGCACTCACCACCGAGGAGGAGGAGAAGGAAGCAGCGACTGCGCTCGTCCAGGGGGCACCGGCTCTCCGTGGCAGCTGGACAGGAGGGGAAGCACAGACCATCTCAGGGCTCCCGTGCGTCCGACACGACCCGCCCCCCGCCCCCCATCGGCCACTCCCCGCCCGGGACTGCCTCACCCACGGGGTCCCAGGGCCAGGTGAGCCGCGACCCCCCTGCGCCCCACGAACCGCGGGAGCCACTGCGGGCCCCGGGGGCGGTCGTCTCACCCTGAGAACCACTCGGTGCCGCCCGCCCCAGGCTCCCCTCGCCGCCGCCGCCGCCGCCGCCATCCCGGCCACGGTCGCTGCTCCGCAGCCCCCGACGGCGCCCCCCACCCCGCCCCGCCCTGCCGAGCCCGAGGCCCCGCCTCCCCGGGGCCCGCAGCCAATCCCCGCCAGCAGGGCCTCCGGGCACGCCCCCCGAGCCCCCCGCCCCCCGTGCCGGGCCGCGGATTGGTGGAGGCGGCCGAGCCGCCCCTGAGCGGCCCGGGCCGGGCCGGCAGCGCCGCCCCGCGGCCGCGGGGAGAGCGGCACGTGGGGCCGGGGAGGGGCTGTTTTTGCTCTTCAGCGCGGGACCGGCCGCGAGGGCGATGTGTCACGTGATCGGCGGCGGGAGTCACGCGGCGCGGGCGCGATGGCGGCCCCCGCGGACGGTGAGGCGGGAGGGCTCCGGCGCTGCCCCCGCGCCGCTCCCGCCCGGCGCTCACCTCCTCTTCTCTTGCAGGCACCGACCTGGAGGCCTCGCTGCTCAGCTTCGAGAAGCTGGACCGCGCCTCCCCGGACCTGTGGCCTGAGCAGCGTAAGTCTGGCGGGCCCGAGTCTGCCGGCTCGGGGCGGGGTGGGCACAGCTCGGCCCGGCCCGACCCGGGGCTTCCTGGGGCAGCTGCTTGGGCCGGGCAGGGGCCGGGCGGCGTTGCGGTGTTCCCCGCAGAGGCGCTTACCCCCCGCCATTCTCTACTTTCTCTTCATAGTGCCCGGCGTTGCCGAGTTCGCCGCCTCCTTCAAAAGCGTGAGTGAGCGCCTTTCGCTTTACCCCCTTCCGTGTGGGGATAGATCTGCAGGTTCTCTTTGCGGGCTTTACGCCCTCGTTATGTAAACCATATCTCAGTTATAACTCCAGTAAATGCTAGAATAAGCCTCTTGTTTTTAACTCCAGTAAATGCTAGAATAAGCCTCTTGTTTTTAATGTATCTTTTATATACATATATCTTTTTTTATACCTTGTGCAGCTTACTGTGAATGAGAATAGCACTTTGGAAGAAGGAAAAGTTTAAACTTTAGAAAATCCTAATGTTCATACTGACTTTGGTTTGTGGATGCCAGTTTGCCAGTTTTGACTCTAAAATGTCCAGGAAAATCTAGAAAACAATGTGAAGCATAAAAATATTTCTACAGAACCTATGGAATTTTCATGTTTTTGCTCTTGGTGTAAGTAGTTTTCAATACAAGATCAGACTTTTTTGTATAATTCTAAAAATGTGCTTGTCTGAATGTGAATTTTTGTTGTTTCTTAAACAGCCCATTACAAGTTCTCCTCCCAAGTGGATGGCTGAATTAGAAAATGATGATATTGATATGTTGAAGGGTGAGTATGGACATTGTGAGCAGGAAGTGAGGTTGCCAAAGCGGATGGAAATTCAGTACTTAAGAGGCTTAAAATGCTTGTTCTTTAAAGTGTTTTGGAGGTGGCCCCATGGCCTCAGATCTCTAGCAATCACAACTGCAGAATCTCCAGTTTAAGAGTCTCTATCTTGTTAATGATACATATTTGTCATTAAACCCGTTATTTCCCAGAGAATGTCCAGATGTCAGTTTCAGGCTGATTTTTCAAAACAAGCAGTGTAATGTCACATTTATTTCTGGTACCTCACTTAGCTGTTTTTATTGCTCCATAAGTATAGAGTCTCCTTATTTTGAGAAGTGGCGTGAATTTTTTGGAGGGGCTCAGCTGATCACTTGGTGAATAGCTTAGACTTGTTGATTGACTTGTTCAGAGATGTATTACATGTGTGTCTTCCCTTAGAGATCCTACAGCTGTAATGGAATGGTGAGGCTATATGGCAAGTTACAGATTTGTGTTAGCTAGATTTGTGCAGCTGCATGTAGATTTGCTGCATGTTGCAGCTGTTAGTTAGCAGTAAACATCCTTGAGCATGCTCTGCCTCTCGTGAATTCCAGGTGGTGGCATGTGATCATGTTACAGTGACGTGTCACTGTTACACAGTGAAAGTGAGATGAATTAGCTTTGACTTGCTGGAAGAAATGTGCTTAAACTCACATTATTGATGTAAAATAAGTCTGTTTCCTTGCATACTTTTTTGTGCCTTGTTCATATAGCAGTGTGAACTTACAGAAACTTCCAAAATAGGGGTCGAGTTGTTCTTTGCAATAGTGGAAGATTAGAGCATGAACCAGAGCCTTTCTCACTATGTTAAAATTAGAGGTGGAGTCATCTTGAATTTGGAACATCTGCTGTTCACTGGAAATAGATCTTGTCAAAAGTATGGCTTGAAAGTACTCTGTGAAGTAGTAAACACATGAACTGTCACTAGAAGGCTATAGACAGCATTAAAATGTACACTTTTCTCTTTTCTTAGAGTTGGGGAGCCTCACTACAGCTAACCTGATGGAAAAAGTTCGTGGCCTGCAGAACCTGGCTTATCAGCTGGGACTAGATGAATGTAAGTGCTGTACACAGATGTTACTGACTGCGTCGCAAATCTTCCCACTGAAGCATGTGCTTGTGGTACAGTTTTAGCTGGAAAAGTGTTTTGGCAAGTCTGGGAAGTGTCTGACAGTCACAGTTAGTGAACTGAAGCAGAATGAGAAAGTGAACTTACATCTTCAACTTGTAGCCTACCTACATGGGGGAATCAGCAGAAATATCACGTGGTTGTATGTCACTCTGGTGTTATGTAGTGGCACATAGACTTCTGTTCCTGACTTATTGTTGCTTTACATGAGTCAGATCACTTCCCTTGATTTCCCACTCAGATTCTAAAGCTATTCCTCAGAATACTTGTGGCAGTACTTCTCTCAAACTTCATGCACTGCCTCTACAGTGAAGCTTTCACTTGTGTGTAGGATTCTCCTATCACTTTGTGTTCATGCTCTTTTCTGCTTCTATAACTGATTTGTTTTTTCTTTTTACACTCAATCGTGGCAGGAGGTGATGTCATTGAGTATTAACAGTGACCTTTATCCCACTTAAAAAACAACCACTTTTTATTGGGCTTTTTTGAAGAAAGAGCTGCTTTCATCATTACATTTAGCACTCTGTCATTAACAGGTTGACCCAGCCTTGAGAATTTCAAGAGTATTGTGGGGTTGTTTAATGCTACCTGTACATACTGACATATTTACTTTTTTCTATTCAATTTTGGTCTAACACAGACCTTTGTTATAGTTAATCTTGGGCTACACAAAGCACAGAAGTTTTAAAAGTCTTTCACCTTCCCTTCAGTGGTTTACAGAAAGTAGAAATAAGCCTTTAGAATTTTTCTGACTGCAAACCTAGAAGAGCCTAATGCTTTCTTATTCACAAATCATTAAGCCTGTTTTTTAACTTAATTCTTTAAACTTATTTTACTTTTGGTGCTAACTGCTATCTGTTAAGACTGTAAAGCATTCAGTGGAGTAGAAGTTAAAGTATAACAACATAAAACTGAGTCAAACGCAAAGACTGGCTGATGATTGACTTCCTCAGTTAAGTTGTAGGCTTTGATGTCATACAGGGTTGTTCTGCTCAGTGGAGTTAAGCAGAGCTTGAGTTGCAGTAAAAGCTAGCAAGGTTTCGTTAGCAATATTTGCTAACGAAATTTTCATTTATTTTTACTGAGGATAAATGAAAGTGTAAAGAAGACAAAGTGAGCGACTAGTGAAATATGTGAAGCCCAGGAGTTATAACCTTTAGTGTCAAGTAACTGAAATCTTGAATTTTCAAGCTTTATGAAAGGTCTCCATGCTTGTAATTTCTTGTCACTGAAGTCCGTTTTCCTTCACACTGTAATACACTGAGGGCTTTGTGTGTTGTAAAATACGTGTATCTTCAGAAAATTTTTACCAAGAGTTAGTTGTGGAGTTTGAGCAGAGCTTCTTAGAACTGTTTTTCCTAATAGTGTCTTTAGGTTGTTTTCTTTTACAGACTTATATGAGCAAGAGAAAAAAAAGGAAAATCCAAAATATCTGTTTATTAAAGTTAAGGGACTTGTAGTTTTGTTTCAGAGATATTGGATTTGATTATATCTTTGTTTATATATCTATATATCTAAGTTTAATAGTCCCCTCTTGACTTAGCTGATAAATTGAAAGTCTATCAAAAGCAGGGTGAAACCTGCTGCTGACCAGTCTCCTCTAGATGGCAGCATGAGGCCTCCCATAGAAGTCTTGCTTCTTTTCATTTGATAAAACGGTCATTTCAGTCATGGTTTGTTCTTCCCAAGATTGTTTTTTGTGACATGTTTTCTGTTCAGAACATACATTGTCTTTTTTTTACAGTAATTTCAAATGTTTTATCAGCATTGAATGTGAGAGACAATTCTGTTTCATTATGTTAGCAGTTCTTCCTTCCAGTTCCTCTACATCCCACCTCAAATCCTTCATATTTTCAAAGACTTTTATTTTCATCCAAGTTATTAATAAAAATGCTGTGCAGGACCAGGGTGATTCCTGCAGCACTCCGTAAAATATATATCTATTGAGTGACATTGCAGTTATGTTGTGAGATCTGTTATTGATCCAGTTCACAGCATACTTTGTTGACTTTGTATTAGAATTCATTAGGCAAAGTGACATGGGACTGTGCACCTTTTGAAAAGTTTATTCATCGAGGTACTATTGCAAAAGTGACATTTGAAATCTGAACAGTTCATTTGACATGATGTAATTTGATAAATTAATAATTACTGAATTACATGCCTTGTTTCTTGAATTCATATGAACTCTCTTACTGTTTTGTCTATATAAGTGATCTTTCTTAACAAATGTGGAAGAAATGTATTGAATATTTTGTCCATCTTCACTTTTCTCATCTAGGAATGGTTGAATACTATTATCTGGATTCTGTGTTCTTATTATCTCTAATTCCAGCTGTCCCTAAGTTTTTGGCCATTGATTTCTCAGATCCTCTTTTGGTTACTTGCTTCTATCAGATCTCTTTTACTCTAGAACTAATTTCCTCTCTTCTTTTTCCCGTAGGGTTACCTTTACTTTCTGTCACCCTGGCTAGTTTGTTGACTGCCCTGTGGCTTCTGTGGCTTCTGTGAATCAAATTAATTTGTTAATATATAATTTATATTTTCTTTCCAGCTTGTTTGACCTCTGTTCTTCCACTCTCATCCTGGCATGCTAGTAGGTGGATTCTCGTTCAGAATATTCTTCTCTTCCTTAGCACAGAATTCACATCAAAGGATAGCTTTCCTTGAATGAAACAGGATTTTCTTAGCATGAACTGATGATGTTAAAATTTTTGCTTTCCTCTTAAAAGATAGGCTATCCTTGGGTCTCTTTTGTGTGTTTATTCTTTGCTACAAGGTGGTCCTGGAGTTCTCCATCATCTTCCAGGCTCAGGACCTTGTATTAACAATAATAAAGTTTTTTAAAAATAAATTATTTTTCAGCACCTTCTCTGAGGTCTCAGCTTGTGTTTTCTTGCCTCCTTTTTAAGCTATGTAAAATTATACGTTGTCCTTTTGCTTGTTGCTGCTTTTCTCTTTTTGCTTCAGTTCTCAGAATCACACAGTCATTTAGGTTGGAAAAGACCTCCAAGATCATCAAGTCCAAACTTCTCGCATTAGAGTTTCTATTTTCTTTCTGTTAATTAATTATTTTATTGGTTAGAATACATTGAAGCAATTTATAGTATTAAAAATCCCACTTTGTGTTGATTTTGCTGTCCATGTAATGTGAATATTGTAAGGGTGGGAGAAGGAACTGGGCTCAATGAACGTACCTACTTTTAATTGTTCATGTAGTTGGGGTGACTTTGGGAGGCATCGTATCTCTTCTGAATGTGAGCTATAGCCAGTTTCATTTCTGCTGGTGTCTGAACTTTGATGGCAAAAAAGGGTATAGGCTTATGTTATGGGCTTTGTCCTGCTCTCTGTCCCTCCAGCTTTGCTTGGAGTGGAGCAGTGAGCACTGCAGAATGAGGAGACCCCAGCTAATGTGGCAAGCAGGAGGAGATGGTTCTTACTTGGGAACTCATTGACAGATCCTAACTCAATGTTTGTGGCCCAGAAGGCAGCAAATTTCAGAATACTTCATGTAAATAACTGCATATTTAGATTGCTATATCTGATTTTTCACTCTGTGATCCATTGTACCTTTCACAGCAACTGAGTCAAAGTTGACTTAAAAAAATTTTTGATGTCTTGGTTTCATGAACTAGCAGCTCTAGGAAACCCATGCATTTAAAGATGTGCCCTGACATCCTTGGAATATATGTATACAGAGAGACATGTCTGAGAACTAAATATACAGAGAAAAATGTTTTTGTTATAAAAAAAATTAAAATTTAACGTTGATGTTTTTTCCAAACTTTGGAACAAACCTATGTGTATAAAAGTAACAGATCTGTTGGATGGGGAAGTGGGAAAAGCACTATGTCATTGAAAGAATGTGATTGTCCAGGGACTTTCTGAAGGCCCTGCTATTGCTTCCCTGGAAATCTCTGATATTTGTCATGTAACACCTGCTACACTGGTTCAAAAGTCCAAAAAGGTAAATATAGATACCTGGTATCACAGCCATATTTATGAAGTCTCACTCACGGCAGAGAGATTATCTGGCTGCTATGCCATCACAGTACAGTTTTGGTGATACTGTTAGTGCAAGACTTCCTCCAAAGCCTATTCTTTTTAAGCCCTAATATCTTTGTGAAGGTGATAGTGCCTTAAATATTAGAAAATATAGGATAACTGACCAAAGAGGTATGAATACTATTTATAATTTCCCTGTCAGTGATTTTTGCTAGTCTAATCTCTTGTGTTAGATTAAATTTTTATTTGGAGTTAAAGCTAGTTTGTGCTATTCCTGCTATAAAATTAAGAATGACTGTATTATCCAATGTCAAGTCCTCATACTCTTTCAAGAGCAATGAGACAGTTCCCGAACCTGCTCAACCAAGTCTCTCCATTTGTAGTATTCCGTGGTTTTGTGTGCCCTGTCTTTCACTGGCCTCTAGCAATTTTGCTGCTAATTTGTTTGTAATGCTTATTTATTTTCCATATGTGTTCAAGCAAATTAAATACCAAGGGTGTAGTGGAAAAGCTATTTGATGCTAGCTATCAAGGGCCCACAAACTAGGCCTGGATGACCTGGGAGATTGCAGGTGAACAGCAGAAGTTTGGTTGTCTTGTAGCACCAGACTGATAGCGGAAAACTCAGCCAGGGTACGGTCAGTCAGTGATGGTTTTTCTTAATACAAAGAATAGGATAATGACTACGAGTTTTTAGCCTGGAGAGAAACAGCTGAAGCAATATGTATAAAAGATATGCAAAACTAATTAATTCAGAGTAAGTGTGAATAGGGAACAACTCTTTGCTGTTTCTTGTTGTCCAGGAGCCAGAGAGAATAAAAGAGTGTGTCAGGACAGACATGAGGAGATACTTGTGCTGCAAATTAAAGTCAGAACTCATTGCCATTGGGTGTTGTGGGTATGGAGTTTATCTCAATAAATGA